ATTCATTCATGCAAATACAGCATCAACAACAACAACAACAACAATCCAGTATAATCTCACATGTAGGGTATGGGGAAAGTAGTGTGTACGCAGACCTTATCCCTACCTTAGGATAGAAAGGATGTTTCCAATAGACCCTCAATATCCTTCCCTCCAAGAATTCCCCACCTTGCTCTTGGGACGACTGAACTCACAACCTCTTAGTAAATTCACTCATGCAAACACATATAGTCGGAAAGAATATATGTATTTAGACATGAACTTCACTTTGAAAGTAAAATTTTATAAATGAAAACTAATAGTTAAATTGAATACAACCTCACTTTAGTATTTTCATATTTCAACGAAACTTAAAAAACTGACATGTAGTGTTTATGCACACTCATGGTCAAACTAGTACTTGTAAATACTAAAATTCAATATTTTACAAGTGATGAAATGATATTCATTATTGTCCAACGGCCGTAAATTTGGCTGACCATAAATTCCCAAATTTGTTTTAAAAAATCTAATTTAGGTGAAGTTTGGTTTGAAGATGAAAATTTGTTTGGACATAATTTTTCAAAACAAATTTCATTTTAAAAAAAAAACATGAACTGTAACTCATACCCATAAGTTTTAAAAATTATTAAAAATACCCAACAACTCTGAAGAAAATTCATACAAAACAAGCGAAACAAATTTGAAGAAAAATCATACAAAACAAGCGAAATAATTCTTAAGAAAATTTATACAAATAATAGTAGATTTTAGTAAATTACCTTCAAATTTTGTCTTTCCGGTGGATTGTCACAGATTGGCACAACAACTTTGGCGAAGGTTCTCTTATGTTTATAGAGAAGGGCAAAGCCGTGTGAGTTTAATAAGGGAAAAGTGGGTAGAAATGGAGTAGTTAGGTCATAATAACAGAAAAGTGGTTTTTTTTATAAAATACAAAAGTTTGGGATAATTTTTAATTTTTTTTAAAAATCAAATGACAATATTTTGGGCCAAAAACAGCTCTTGAGCTGATTTTGAAAGAACAATTAACTGAATTAGGAGTTGGATAGAGATACTATTTCGCTTTTGCTTTGTATCTTTCTTCTTGATTTCATGTTGTTCCTATTTTTCATATTATTTCTATGGTGTTACTAATATTGTCTCCTTTTGTTTTTTGTCTTCTTGAGTTGAGGGTCTTTCGGAAACAACCTCTCTACTCCTTTAGGGTAAGGGTAAGGTCTGCGTACACACTAGCCTCCCCATACCCCACTAGTGAGATTTCACTGGATCGTCGCCGGTGTTGTTGTTAACAGCCCATATTAACTATAAACTTATAATAAACGTAATCTTATTTTATTACACTTCAGGTTTATAGCCACCTCCTTAATATGTCAGTTTTTTTCCTTTTCTTTTCCAACAAGATATATGAAATTGGAGCGTGTTGCACGCCTGCAACAAGATATATGAAATGGGATCGGGTTGCACGCCTGCAACAAGATATATGAAATGGGATCGGGTGGCACGCCGCCACGTTAATATTTGAAATGGGGAGTGGGTTACACGCCTGCAACAAGATATATGAAATGGATCGGGTTGCACGCTGCCACGATAATATTTGAAATGGGAGCGGGTTGCACGTCTGCAACGAGAAGGAAATGAAAGTGAATACTGTGTTGGTTTTCCTTATTCTTGTTGATAATTAAATTTTGGTTTCTTTACATTCCTCTTTGGTATTTTGTTGTTATCTGATACTCCCTGTAGTATGCTTTTCCCCTCCCATCTTTAACTGTGAATATCTGCTTTTATTTTTCCGTTGTATATGACATAACTGTACATGTTTATTTTGTAGTCTGGTCCTAGCCTCGTCACTACTTCACCGAAGTTAGGCTAGACACTTACCAGCACATGAGGTCGGTTGTGTTGATACTACACTCTGCACTGTGTGCAAATCCTAGTGCTGCAACTTTTGGACCGCAAAGAGGGTGCTGTCTTCAGTCCATTCAAGCAACCCGAGGTAGTCTTGCAGGCGTCCGCAGGCCTTGACATCTCCTTCTATCATTTTCTTCTATTTTTTTTTTTACTTATTCAGAGATATATTTGTGTATTTCTATTCAGACTTTATTTGTAGTATTCGTAGATAGTCCGTGACTTTGTGATACCAAATTCTGGGTAGTGTTGTATTTCGGATTCATGTAACAATGTTTGGTTAAACTATTAAGTTTTAGTCTCCCGTATTTCTGGTTATTTAATTTATTCCGTTGTTTGATCACCTATTATATTGAACTGTTGAAAAGGCTTAATAAAAAGTGTAATGAATTTATAACACTCTGCTTGCCTAGTTTTCACGAGTAGGCGCCATTACGACTCCCGAGGGCAGAAAATCCAGGTCGTGACATAAGTGGGCCCGGGTTTTACGGGCTTTTGTAGGAACCAGCTCGGGACCGGGATCACGGACTAATGGTCCCGGACCTAAGCGGGCCTAAGTAGTCCCAACGGTTTGGGACCGTTTAAATTATGACCGTTGGGACCGTTTAGGTCCGCCAAGGACCAGTCCGGTTCCGATCTCGCGGGCTCAATGTAAAGGACCGGCCCACCTCCATGGTCACGGGCTTATACACTGTATAATTATTGTATAACTCACCGTATATATACTGATTGTATCGCTTCTCTGCCCCTCGGGGTAGGGGTAAGGTCTGCGTACATACTACCTTCTCCAGACTTCACTTGTGGGATTATACTGGGATGTTGTTGTTGTACCCAGATTTATAGTGATTATACATCAAGGATACACTGTATAATGTTTATGCATGATACATGCGAATCGAAAAGAAGAAATGACTACGCTGAAGTTTTTGTGATATGTGCAGTGAAATTAAGAGAAGCTCCTTCATTAAGGTCTTTTGAAATTTTGAAGAAGAAAAAGGAGAAAAGGGAAGAAGAGAGAAGGAAAAGAAAAGGATAATAGAGAAGAAAAACAGGATTGCGTTCGCTCATTTGATATGGTTACATTATTTTAGGGCTATTTTTTTTAAGTTTTCAGGGCTAATAGGAGTTGTAAAGATTAATGGGCTGGTTATTTATGTTTTTTTTTTTTCTCATTTGAAAATTTGTTAAAGTATGAATAAAATTTAAACAAATTGACATTTACCAAAAAAAAAAAAAAAAAAAATTGTCAAAATTTATGACCAAACGAGACTTTGATATCCACTTGCAAATATTTTATGGGCTATACCAGCTGTGCTAATCTAGAGTTAATACTTAATACCTTGAGAAAGTGCAACTGAGGATAATAAGAATATAGAATTATCGCTCATATGATCACTCAATTTTAGGTAATTGGCCATAAAAGTTATTTAACTTATTTTTTATTTTTCAAAAGTCACTTTTCTTAATAAGCTTTAATGGTCATCTATTTTTTTCTTTATCTTTTGTTTTACCTAATTATCTTCAATAGTCATCTTGATCGAATTGCCCAACCCTAAACCGACTTAATACCTTACGTCCTTACCCGATCCATCCCATTATTATTCTAGAAAATGCCCAAAACACTCATATTTTTGCGAAAATATGAGTACTTGGATATTTTTTAGAATAAAAAGGGATGATCAGGTCAGGTATTGGTCCAGATTCTTAATTAGTGTTTCAATTATTTTTTTGTTAAAGTTAAAATTCCGCGTCATTAAATACAAAATTTGGTGAAGATGATTGTTGAAGCTAATTAGTTAAATTAAAGTGACTTTTGAAAGTTTGTCCAAATCAATTATCTAAAGTTTAGTGATCAAGAGTGTTCATGAGAAAAAAAGAAACCAAAACCAAGTAAGTTGGTTTTTCAAATATTAGAACCAAACCAAACCAAACCAATTGAGTCGAGTTTTTTTTTCTGATTCGGTTTATGTTGGTTTTTCCGGTTTTTCAGTTATTTATCGTTTTTTCCTTAAATATAAGACATACACTACCAAACATACATTCCGGCAACTACATTTTTAACGTAATGCTATCAAATCAATTGTCTTTTGAGAAACCTATCATTTACCAAGATATATTGATGATAATTGAATCAAATAGTGCTGAATAATTTAAGGACTCAATTAAAAATAGATTATTTTTAGCATGAAATGAATTCTTACTCTTAACAAAAGAAAACTACCAATAAAACTAGAATGTAAAGATAAAGAATTAGGCTAAAAGTGCAAACGATTAAGAGGGTGTTTGGCTAAGCCTATAAGCTGGTCAAACTAACTTATAAGCACTTTTGGCTTATCTACGCGTTTGGTAAAGTTAAAAGTGCTTATAAGCTAAGTGCTTATAAGTTAAAAATAAGCTAAAAGTCATAAGCTGGTCATCCCCGGCTTACTATTTTTTAGCTTATAAGCACTTTAAGTTTGACAAAATTTTTACTATTTTATCCTTAAAATATTTTATTAGAACAAAACTCCTATATGATGCCTCAAGTATTTAACCCCCCTT